TATTTATAGTAAAATGATGACAAGCGCTCACAATCTTTGCTTCTATATATAGAGGAAAGAAAGTATAGATTAGGATGAGTGGTTACAATGACAAATGATACTGCAAGACATGGAACACCACATTAAAAAAAAAAGTATGCAATAAAAAAAATATAATTAATTAGATTTTTATATTCATAATCAAATAAAATAGATATACAAAAATATGGCAGTAAAATACGAAAACGACCCAATAGCATGATTTATCGTACCTAGTAGCAATTTTATGATGTTTGTTTTTATCTATGTATAAATAATCCCCTTATATATAATTTCAGAATGCGTTAAACTTAAGTAGCAGACTAGCACGTTTCGGAATCTTAAAAATTATGCTTCGTTGCTGGGTTTGGATATATATTACTACGTATTTTTTATAAATAATAATTATACTTGGGTTGTGATTGGTCGAAAAATGTGTGTATTTTATATATTTATTAGCGTAATTTTATTTGCGTAATTTTATTGCATTTACATGTTTTTCGACTTAATTATATATTAGATGGATTTTAGTGCTATGATATTTTTATGTTTTATTTTCAGATTATTGGAGTACTTTTATGGGCGACATAAATTCGGAAGATGATTGAAGCGGGCCGGTATAGGGACACGCCAAACCAGTCGAATTAAGGCCCACTGTAGGCTACCAATTTGGTGATTTTGTCACATGGTCCATAGTGCTAAACCAGCCAAAGAATTTGAAGGGGAGAATTAAAATAAAAGGCAACAACATAATTAAAAAGGTGTGGACTTACGCAGCCCGGAAGAATTAATTAAATTGGCAAACCACAAGGTATTTATATGATTCACGCACTCAAGGGAGAGGGGAATTATTGATTGGCGCAAGTCGTAGCAGCCGCAATATCGGAGCACAAGCAAAAAGAAAAAAGCCGCCACGCTTCAGCAACAGAGACGGGAATAAGACGCAGACAGAGGAAAAGTACGAGGAGCCCGATCAATCGCGGAGGGAGGCCGCACCCGCACTCGAAAGGGGATAATTCTATTCTCTTTCTTTTGTTTTTATTTATTATGTTAGAGTAATTTTTATTTCTAGTTCCGGTGATGTTGAACCTTACGACTTGACTATGTTTGATTGATTTTCTTGGTTGATGATTTTAATATCTTTTTGGAATTGTTTGTGTTATTTTGAATAATTCACCATGATGTGTTAGTCTTGTTTAGATTGATCACCTAGATTAGGCTTTTCATATCTACATCTGAGTTAGACCTGCAATCCGTAATTGTTGTTGTGTTTAATTCATAAGAGGTAACCGGAAGATGGTAACTACCGGGGATAACACGGCCTAATTAAGTGAACGAACGCGGTTGAGTTCACTAATTAGTCTAGCCTATTTTTCTAAATCGTAAAGCGGCTAATTGTATTAAATCTTGAAAACGTTTTTCTGGACTGTACAAGAAGTCAGGTTTAATCGTCGAGCGTCTCGCGGTTAAATTAAAAATAAGGAAAAATTCGGGTAACTGACCGTGTCGTTGCCTAGGGCTAGTAATTTCATAAGATAGTGAGATTTGATACCAGAATTGATTAGACAAGTCAGTCGAGGGTGTAGACGGAACCGTGAACTAGAAACTTCTCTTTATTTATTCTATTTTATTTTTATTTCCTTTGTTTATTAGGATTTTTAATAAGTTTAGTTTTTAAACCAATCCCCCCCATTTATCGCTTTTTATAATTTCAATTAATACGAAAAAATTCACGATTTGATTCACACTCCTCGTGGGATCGACCCTTGCTCGCCATTACTACTAGTTAGTAGAGGTTAGTCGAGGAAAATATAAATTTTAATTTTTCCGCGTTGCGACGCTCGGTCAGGTTGCATTAAATATCTATATTATTCATATTTAATGTGTGATTGATCAATTCCGTATTTTCTTATACAATTTGTTGATAAACGAATTTGATCAACGTTCACAATGTAAGATTAATGCAAAAGATTGCAGAAAATGAGATTTTTATTGAATATTTCGAAGTCGGTTTTAATACAAGAAGGTCGGTTTTTTATGAATTTCAAGTCGGTTTACTATGAGATATCCGAGGTGAATGTAAGAGCGTATATGATGATTTTTCGAACCCTTCTCTCGTTTTCGGAACCGCTATTTATAGGTATGTTTGGCACACATCCCTAGACAAATCATTCCCATTTTAATGAAGATTTGACATCTTAGGGGCGGCGATGACGTAGGAGAACCTTGTAGGCAATGATTAGCATGGGCGCGCCTCTATCGATGTGACGAGTGTCACATCTGTCGGATCGAAGTCGGTTTTTCTTGTGATGTCGGCATCTTGGTTAATTTTCGATATTCTGCGACTTCTTAATAAATAATTCTTTGACCGAATTGACCTTCTTCGAAGTTCTGACGACTTGTGTGGATGACCTTCTACGAGATTGTATCTGAACGTCATGTCACAATAAAGGGGCACTTCTCTGAACCGACGCGTCATTTAACCACGCGCCTCTCCATCTTCAACGGTTAGAAAATTGCGAGCGTATATATACGGATAAATTCACGGTTTCTATTCACTAAACCTTCATTTAAGCAATTGTTCTCTCAACCTATCTTCAGCATACTTCGTATTTTTCCTCTTCACCTTCTTCATCGTATTTCCGCAAGTCCCGAAACCTTCAAGAGTTTACATCGTTTTTCGGTAAGCCCTAATTTCTTCTTCTCACTTCGCAATTCCTTTATATCATTTTTCTGAGCTCTGATTATGGCGGCGAGTGGTGAGAACGTCGGTACGGGCAGCAGCAGTAGGACTGTGTCTGACCTGCGGTTGGATGAGGAATTAATGGAGTTGATGGGGGATTATTATCGGTGGGATCCTGTTTTTGTGGATCGTTTGGAGATTCGCAAACGTGACATTGAAGGAGATGCCGAGGTGGAACGGGATGTTCCTGTGAGGTCGGGTTATTGGAATCGTCCAGCCCGTCGATGGCCCGATGAAGCTGTTCCATTTTTGGGGGAACCCAGTACCATGACCGACGCCGACGTGGTTCTCCTCCGTGAGTGGGTACGAATCCCTTCCTCGGTGAGGATTTTCGCTCCCTATCCGGGGGAGAGGATTCATTGTCCTCCTCCGGGTTGTATAGGGATTTTTGCTGAAAGTCTGAGGTCGGGCTTGAGATTCCC